ACCTGCGGATGGCCCAGATCACAGGCCGATGAGAAAAGTTTCTCATCGGCCTGCGATCTCGGCCGTCCACGGGTGGTGACCGGGCCGCAACCTGGGCCGTGCGATATGACGTTAGCGATTCTTGTAGTATTGTAGACATCTTTCAGAGTCCTCCAACGGCCAGATGAATCCGTTTTTATACCGCTCCCCGCTCAGCATCCACTGGCTGTACCCACCTTCCAAGACCATAGAACCCCCCCCGATGGGCACAGCCGATTCGCATCTTGGGCAGATGGCTCCCCCTTGGATCACCTCCCCCCATCCCGCAAGGGCCCCCCCGCTGACACCATCTCTTCGCCCCTCCCCCCCTCCTCCCTCACCCCTCCGCCCCCTGATAGAGTGGAGCCAGGAGCCTCCCCCTCCAGACAAGCCACCTCCTCCCCCCCTCCCTTCCATGTCACCACCGCTAGTCCCCACCCCGCCTCCGTCCCTCCCTAGCTCCACGCCTCCATTCCCTCCCCCCACCGCCCAATCACAGTACTCGGGGGTCTCAAAAGCGGCAGAGGTTACCTCATTGGCACACACAACAAAGGAGCTGACAGACAGCACAGAGTAACAACCCTCCTGGGAACAGGAGCCCGGGGCGGAAGGGGCAGTGTGGGAAGGGGTCACGGAAAGAGAAAAAAGGGGAACAGCTTCTCAGTGGCAGGAGACAGTGGCAAGCAGGCTGAGTACAGTTTAAAAGTCCGGGGGGGCAGGTCAATGACCCGGGGGACTACGATACCCATGAAGAACATGAAGAACGTGCTGAATTACGTTCTTCAGCCTTGAAGAGCGTCCCCTGTGACTTTATGCATCATGGTTTGCTCATCTTGGTCATGGCATCTCAGGCAATTCGTCAAACTGGTTCTGATAGGAAGGGTGAGGAGCGACGAGTGCTCCAGGTGTTTTCAGGCACCCAGATTCTGGGCTGAAGAGGCTGTCTCCCCCCCCTTAACCACATCGCCTACTCAGTAAATCCCCACAATTCCCGGGGCAATCAATGGTGGCAATGAATATCATATTTCTCCCCATGCAATTTCGTAATTGGGACACTGGAACCCACTTTCCAGCAGGTGACACTTCTCACCAATAGATGCAGTCTCTCCCAACGGAGCCAACAGTGTCTGCTTTTTTTACCAGCTGAGATCCTGACCAATAAAAAGAGGACATACAAAAAGGCTGCACCTTATATTCAGGCGGGAGACAGTACGTCGTCCAAATACCACACATGCTCGTTATATTATATCATAATCTTACAGCCAGGGTCACCAGCCCGTACGTACGGAGGTCCGTGGGCCGACCTCCGTACTACGGGCGTTCGGAGTCCCATACGGGGTCCGAACCCGAAGGCGTTCGTCCCCCGTAATGCTCAGGCAAATGTTGTTTGCTTCACTTTTCTTCATAACATTTTTTTTTCAGATTTTTATGAATTGTGTTTTTTGTTTTTGTTTATGTTTTTTTGGCCCTCGTTCGACCCAAACGGCCAGACGCATCCCCAAGGGGTCCCGTACGTTCGGGCATTTGGGTTCGGGCGTTCAGCCCGTCCCAAACGCCAGTTACCTTGCTTACAGCCATATTCACCCGCCGGCTCACCGGAAGCAGAGTGCTGCTCATACCCGTACATGCGGTAAGCGCTCTTACTAGATTGGGGCCTGTGCCGGTAGCAGGCCCCTTTGGAAAGGTGCAGTTAGTCGCAAGCTCGCGAGCCTTATAGTACCAATGGCCAGAGCTTGTACCCAGAGGAGTACCAAGGTGTTCGATGAAAGCTGCGCACGCACGCATCCTTGACGTCCCGCAACAAGTCGACTCCACTTGGTTCCGCTGCCCACCCTCTTCCCCCCAAACATAACACATCCTCTTCCCCACCCAAACATAATGCAGCCTGAACAAGACCACAACACTGTAAAGATGGTGTACGCATCTTCATGGTCAGGGCGCGTTGTGTTCAGGGGAAGGGGGTAGGTATATTCTCCCCGGACGACACCACAAAACACCGAACTAGGCTATAACCCCTAACCTATTCTTGAAGGACTACAAAGCACAAAAGCGCCGATGCGCTGGGTTTCTCTTCCCTTACGCTCGATTTTGCCCACCTCTGATCAGGCCAGATTGGTGTCGCAGCTTCCTCGTCCACACGGGCAAGCTTGTGCCCTGTCCCTTCTTTTGCTCTTTCTTTTCGTTCGTTTTTCATCTTTTATATTTTTTATTTTCCCTTCTTTTTTGACTTTTTTTCTAGTGTAGCATTAGGTATTACATGTGCAGAGCCCCTTCTATACCATACCTCAGGGAGAAGGCAAGAAGCTGACATAGTGGTGGTTCACAAACAATTAAAGGACCAGTACATGTCTGAGCCTCTTGTACGAGGCGGATTCCCACTGCACGCCAAGTTCTGCCGAAATGTCGGAGTGGCATTTTTGTTGCAGTTTTGGCTGGCCGCATCAGCCATTTTGGTCCGATTGCCCCAAGCCTCCGATTTTTTTCGGAGTCACTCCGTCGTGATTCTCAAGTGAGTCCCAAACTGCCAGTACACGGCCCCAGACTCGCTGAAAGAAAGTCGTGCTGCGGCCCCAGACTCGCTGAGAGAAATTCGAGCTGCGGCCACAGACTCGCTGAAAGAAGGTCGTGCTGCCAATGATGAATTCCATGAATGGCTGGCATCGCATTTCGGGCCCTCAAGGTGAAGGCCAGCAGCCGACGTATGGCTGTGTGCTGGTGGTTTAAGGCTATGGCCCACGAAGTGAAGAAATAGCAACGAACATCATGTCAACTCTTCTTCACTACTCACTGTTATAGAGTGATCTATTCCACTAGGAACCCGGATCGGGCCTGTGGATGCAGACAACCTTCCTCCGAAAAAAGTGTGATCCTGGTCATCATAACGAGTGCCTTCATGCTTTCTGAAGTACAATGACAAAACCAGCAACACTTCATCCTGATAAGATTTGCCCGGATACACACACTGTACTACTCCCTACCGTCTTCCCCCAGATAGAACATACAGTTCACGACAGCAGCATTTTGGGCAACTTTCAGTCTAAATGCAGAGATAATGACTATGTTCTATTCAGGGGAAGCTGGCAGCCTGCCGATATAGACCCTCCAATATACCGTGACCACACCGAGTACAGCATTGGGCAACTCCATTACGTGTGACCATCACTGCAAATACCCGCCAGGCAGGGGTCTATATATTCCCTGGGTCACTATAACCCTGTGATCTACACACCCTCAGTGCATACAACGCTGCCTTTACTCCTCCGACTGTACTCGAAAACCAAGAGCCCTTTCACTGAGCAATTACTACTGATCTACCCCAAATCTGTACCACACATAATACGTCTGATTTGTATTCTACTGAAGTCTAAGCTGTTATGTTGCTACAGCAAAACAAAACCAATCCAGGAGCTGACCACATCCATCCTACCAGGAGTCCAGCAGTGGCATCCGGCCATGTTTTACGATAGAAAGAGGTTTCTGCACGAGCAGTACCACAAACTGGCACACGCTTTCTTTCGGCAGTCACCATGAGGCATTTTACTGAACGCTAAGAAGAGGTGGGCGAAGCGTTTCCACACAAGCATTCATGATACGCTCCCTACCACGTTTGTTCGTGTGTGTGTCTTGTCATATTCGCTATACACGACTCCACAAGTATGACTGTGCGAGACTGTGTCCTCAGACACTCACCGACTCGTCAAGAGGTTAAACGTCTGTGCATTTGTGTGTGGGAGAGAGAGAGAGAGAGAGACAGAGACAGACAGAGACAGAGACAGACAGACAGAGGGGAGAGGGGGGCGGTCACCACCGCCAAACTACATCATATAAAGGACCAGCGGCAAACTAGCATTTGGGCACAGGAATTCCGACAAGCTCGCAAAAGAGCTTTTTCTTTCCAAGTTCCAACGACTTCTCCCAATTGGGTTCAGGAGGGACACCATGGCAGCCTGTTGTTAGGCAGCTGTGTCTTCATGCTGCCGGCTATAACGAGACAGCGCAATATAATAATCATGCCCATTTCCCGTGTCTTAGAGTTGAACCCCATTGCTTTGCAGCAAAGCTTTCGAAGACGATTTGTGAAACCCCAATGCTTTGAGGCAAAGCTTCAAAAAACGCTGACAAATGACGTGGCAAGCGTTTCCACTCAGTTTGTTTTTTTGCCCGTTCCTCGCGGTCCAGCCATCCTGAGGGGGTAGGGGGGGGGGGCACCGCCCCTCGGTTTGCGCATAGCATGTGGAACGGAGAGCCAGGGATTGGACGGCACCGAGACAAGCGGATGTGACGTCTCTGTATAGCAAAAGTTTTCCCTATCGGGTAACCAGCAACAACGGACCTGCCAAACATTCATGCAGCAGTGGGGTCCGCTTTTCTGTTTCCCATCGCCGGGGCCTACGATTTGGGTTTGGCGTAAGCTTTCCGCCTGGAAAGCTTCCGCCAGGCAGGGGGGTCCAACTCGTTCTCAGATGGAGACCCTCTTGGCCCCCCCCAAATCAGCAGACGGAGTTGCTGGCCTAATTTTCGATGGGGTTCCACGGTTTCAAGTTGCTGGCCTAATTTTCAATGGGGTTCAACAACCAGCAATAACGCACACGCTCAACACATGCTCAGTTTCTCAAGAATCTAACCTTCATTACCAGCAAAATACTCGAGTATTCACTCAGAGACTCGTACACAGGAATCTGCACCACACTGTAAACAAAGCGCTCCAACGCTGCTGCCCTCCGAAAACATACGGACAATAACGAATGTCCGAACAACACACAAGACAGCCACAGGAGTTCAATAGCCACAGATGTATTCAGATGCCCACACCCTCGGACCGACTCTCAACAGTAAAATGATGCCTTGTCCTTTTGTATTGCGAACAGCATCTCTCTCTCTCTCTCTCTCTCTCACACACACACACACACACACACACACACACGCCCCTCACATGAACCCCCAAAGCCTCATAACGCAATGCTCACGAAGCTGCTAGAAGGTCATACCACAGACATTTGTTTCTTTCTAACTTCTCAAGTTTCTGTAGACACCTCAATGCATTCAGAAAGCAACCATACAAGCACAGGAGAGGCAAACGATCGAGAACACTTGTTACCGCATATGGCTGACATCGAGTGGCTGCCATATATACATGAGAGAGACAAGTGCGATGGGAATGGATTATTTATACAAGAGACGCAAGAAAAAAGAGAATATGAACCAGAGTTTGTGTGGGGGGGCAAGACCCCATTGCCCATTTCCGTTGCCCAAGCCAGTCAAATAGCGCATGCTACTGCAAGCACATAACGAACTCCAGTATTCCCCTTTCCACAGCGCTTGTTGTCTTCCCGTGAGCACAACAACAGATCACATTACCAGCCACCCTAGTGCATGCCACCCTGCTGCACATACATGCATTAACATCGATCCATCCACCAGCAAGCCTTCCTTTGCTCCTCGCCAGAGATAACCCACCATTCACTGCAACAGGCCCAAGATCTCCTCCCTTGTTCCCAGCTCGCAACCCCTTCAAGATGTTCCACGGCATTGTCCGTATCAGTTCAAGACCCCTGCGGTTGTGATTATGGGCACATTTATCTCACCGCTTGTGATTACGGCGGGCACATTAATCTCACCACAGTTGATCTCCCACCACAAGAGTGTTCCAGAGTCACAGTGTAGCCTCCAAAGCTGGCTGCAGCACCTTGCCCCATTAATTAATGGGCCGTGGTGGGGTAGAAAGAGATCCTTCCATGGAGGAACGGAGCTGCACCCTGATTGAGGTTCTTCAAAGGTACGATTATTAACTCTAGGTAGCAGGAGATTTCTTCTGCTTAGACACAACCAGCTCGTGTATCACCATGAGAGAGAAGCACAACAAAAAGACAAGGCACGTTCATGCAGTGCGAGTAACATTGCATGTCATTGCCTGACAACACGCAGCTCATGGCCCGCAAAAAAAGGCACGAACCTTGAGACAGAGGGAGTCAGCAGCGGCCCTCAGCTAAGTGTGCACCAGTGAGAGTCCTGGAGAGAGGGTAGGAACAAGAAGTAGCAGGCAAACGTGAACTACGGAGAACCGGGACAGGGTATATAGTACCACAGACCGCACACAACTGAGATTATTAAAAACAAGTGAAAAAATGGATGAGGGGGGTTGCAAACAGACAAGAGCACGAAACAGACATGCAATTGAACATAACAAACACGTTAGTTATATCATGAAGAACTTTTACCTTCCAGTTCAGTGGCATCCTTCCTTCAGCATACATACTGTCCAACTCTCTGTCTGTCCCTTTTTGTCTGAGTTCCAACGAGTATATGCACAATTTATGGAGGGTGTAATAATCAGAGTTCCCCCCACATCAGACAAGAATAGTGACCTGCACGTTCGGAGTGAAGGGCAAAGAGATATTGGCCGTTCCTATGCTGCATGACTATGTGTGAGCCGCTTTTTGCAAGGTTTTGTGGCAAGCGAAAAGACTGAGTGATGCAGCACAGGCCATGCCAAACATCTAAGGCAACGACGCTGCCTGGATGGGTCTTGAGCGAATCTCCGAAGAAAAGAGGTCTTTTCCTGTGAACGGACTCGTCCATTCCAGGCCTTCACTGCTGTTCTCTCTTGTCTCCTCCAATCCCCTCCCTGCTGCGGCCTGTACCACCCATCTCAGGCTCGAACCAAGCTTGCAAAAAGGTCCATTCCATATGTCATACACACCTTCCGACTCTGCACTGTTCGCAGCGCAGCTTGAAGGAGACGAGGAGAGCTTCCACCGTGAATTGGCACTGCTGGTATCACCCCCTACCGTGCCAGGCGACTGGCTCCCTCCTGCTGAGGACTGCAAGGATGCCCCTGTCGCAAACCCACCACACAGCAATCCCGTGTTCCACAACCCTGCCGAGGACACTCCGGATGATGGCATTCCTGTTGACATCATCACAGATGATGGCAAAGAAGTCGATGAAGCAAGCGACATTGGAGAGGACAAGGATGCACAAGACCCAACAGTCGGAGCACAGGTTGACGATGATACTGATTGCACTGCACCCCAACCAACAACCCCATTCATTTTGATCCCTTCCCTCCTTCCTGGGTTAATGCTCCAGTCAACCGACGATGTTCCTCCAAGCCCAGAGGTCCAGGCTGCTGAAGAAGAAGAGAGTGAGAGGGGTGATGATGATGCCAACGAACCCGACAACGATGTCATGGGTCCATTCGTGGCCATGAGTGATGTCGACGACGCCAAGGGCAAGGACGTGAGACCGCTAGGCGCGCTCACTAACCGAGGTTCTGCTGGTAGTGGCATTGCAGACGGGCCTGCTTCGATCCCTTTCACTGCACCTTCCCCACCACCGCTGGGACCTGCTGGCCCCCATGAAGTCATCGGTGGAGTCATTCTGCCTAAGTACCCATTGCATTGGTGTTGAGCCTGCACCTGAGATAGGGTGCCAATGGGTAAGCACATCCCCACACCCGAAACCATGGGGGGCTTCATACCGCCATTTCCTTCGTGGACTGCAACAGATCCCCCTACTCCCACCCCGAGTGACAACCCTGATCCCGATGCCGCTGCTTTAAACCTACCCAGATCATCAACAAAAGATGACCCTGGTACGGAACCATGAGAGAGTGAAGAAGGATGCGACGCTAATGAAGACGCCCCAGACACCAATGCAAATGGCACCGCTTTTGCTGGAGATAAAAACGAAGAGGGAGCTAGAGAAACACTGCTTGTGCTCCTCCTTTCTCCCCATCCCAAGGACGAGAACCCTGGGACAGTGCCATTCTGGTGGCCTGACTGAAACGCTGAGGTCAATCCTGAAAGCTGCACCTGCTGCTGTTGATGCTGGGGTTGCAGCTGTTGCAAGGGCTGCGGCTGTTGCTGGCTCTGGAGGAGAAGGTGTCCACCCATGCTCATGTTTCCTGGGGATGCCAGGGAATTAGGGACTGTGCTGGCAGGGCCTGCTTCTGAAACTTGCAGGTCCGATCTGAGATGCATTTGGGAGACGGCAGGTATCTGTGTTGGAGACGCAGGGCGCCTCTGTGGTACAGAGAAGGTGGACGACGGGGAATTCAAAGGTTGCAGAGGAGATGACAACACAGGCGAAAATGCAGGAGAAGAGGCAGCTGTAGAGACGTTGGATCTTAGGGCTCCCAATGACAAAGGATTGATGAGCCCACCACTTACCCCATTGCATACTGGTAGTTTCACTGTCTGCAAATCTGCAGAGTCCTTCGACGAAATGTTCGAAAACGCCCAGGATAACCTTAAACTAGAAGATCTACCGCTAGGACTTGTGCTAAGGCTTCCGAAGTCACCCGCAGCAGTCACCTCAACCGGCATCGGTGATGAGAATTGGGACACCGTAACTTGTTGAGCAGGAACCTGGTGCTGCTGCTGTTGCTTCTGCTGCTGCTGAAGTTGTTCTTGTTGTTGTTGTTGTTGTTGTTGTTGTTGTTGTTGTTGTTGTTGTTGTTGTCGTTGTTGCTGCTGCTGCTGCTGCTGTAGTTGTTGCTGCTGCTGCTGCTGCTGCTGCTGTAATTGTTGTTGTTGCTGCTGCTGCTGCTGCTGCTGTAGTTGTTGTTGCTGCTGCTGCTGCTGCAGTTGTTGCTGTTGCAGCTGTTGCTGTTGCTGCCGCTGCTGCTGCTGCTGCTGAAAATGATGCGGCTGCTGCTGCTGTTGCAACAGCAGCTGTTGCTGTTGATTCTGGAGTAGCTGCATTTGCTTTACCTGCTGCGGCGTATCTTTCGATTCATGAGATAGTGTCAATGGCTGAGCAATACTCACTGGATGTCCCGTCTGCTGTAGTCCCCGCTGTGGAGACTTTGACAGCTGCGACGATTGCTGTGGGGGCAATATGGGTGATGGAGATGACTGGTTTCCCAAAACGTGTTGGCCTTGGGCCTGCGCACTGGGCCGTCCGTTCAACACCTGGGCCAAACTCTGCTGTTGCTGTGGTGTCAGCAACGGTTGCTGCTGCTGCTTCTGTTGTGGGAGATTGGCCTGCTGCTGACTCTGATTCCTGAACAGCTGCACAGGCTGTGCTTGTGGCGGCTGCTGCCACTGCTGACTTGTCTGCTGCTGCTGCTGCTGCTGCTGCTGCTGTTGTTGCTGCTGCATCTGTTGATAACTCACCTGATGATGTTGTTGTTGCTGATGTTGCTGCTGCTGCTGCTGCTGTTGCTGTAAGCCATGGTGATGCATAATCCACCTTCCTGGAAGAGAGGGAGAAGTCTGTGGAGTACAGACTCCCCCTGTGAGGGAGTGCAAAATCATGCCCCCCCCTCCCACCCCTCTAGACACTATTGAGCCCCTTCCTGGCAGCTGATGCTGCTCGCCATTCGTGGCCACCCCATTCACACCCTTGTCCTTCGGCACACCATTCGCTAACAACACCCTCGAGATTCCACCACTTCCATTTGCACTCACGCCTGGCCCAGTCATCGCACTTGGCATCAATGTTGACGAGGCTGGACCAGAGACAGTGGTTGAGGTCATCATGGAGAGCGACGATGCAACCACCACCTTTTTTCGATCGCCCACCACCCCTGTGGTAGCAATCCCATGCCCATTGCCATTTGCATTCCCATTTCCATTCGCAACCACGGTGGCCGTCGACTTGCCATTTGGATGCCTCTCTCGGAGCCATTCCTCCGCTTTCGTCAAGTCACCCTCACAGGCAACCACCGCCCTCTCCGTATCTCCTCTCGAATAGCCATACCTCAGCTCCATTTCTGTCATCCTCGCCAATTCTTCCGAGATATCAATCTTCAGTGTCATACTGCTAATACTCCCTACATCCTCCTCCTTCTCTCCCCCGTCCGCTCCATCCCCTCCCCCTTCTAGTAGCCACGTCACACATTTCTCCAGGTGCCCTTCATTATACAGAACTGCTGCCGTGGCCCTTTCTTTTGTAAATCCCATGGATACAAGTTGCTGTGCCAATGCCTCCAGCTTTCTTGATGTCAGGTAATGCATGCACTTCTCCCGGATCTCCAGCGCCCGTCTCTCCCTTTGCCTTTGATGCTTCTTCTCATTCCTTAGCCGTGTTTTCTCCCTCTTACTACTGCTGGACGTAGTTGCCGTCGCACCCGGTGGTGTGCCCATCCTGGTCATGGGCGATGACGACGATGACGTCGATGAATACCCCGACCTGTCCTTTCCCGATCCCGACCCTCCACTTCCTCCCCCACCATTGCTTGCATGACCCTGATCCTCCGACTCACCCGAACAACTTCCGTTATTCGAGACAGAGTCATAATCAAGACTAAGTCCAAGGCTCCCCGTGTCGTCTCCCTCATCAAATGAATGGTACCGCCCATTCTGACCCACTTCAATTCCGTTTGTTGCCGTCGAACAAGTCTCTATAGCATGGAATGTTCCTGAAAGAGGATTATATGCATTCGTCAAACCCGCCCCGCCGCCACCTGCTCCCCCTAGGACTGATCCCCCATGTCTTCCTGTTGTTGACCGCCACGGCTCCTTCAATGATCTTTCTGATGGTCCTTTATCAAAGCCGCCCCCATTCCTTGGTCCCGGCATTGTTCCAACTTCGTCCTTTTTCTCACTTGATTGCTGATCCGCGCCCGTTCCAGCACTCCTATACCTAGACACGGCACATCAACCACAAATTGACCATGCAAACGGTTAAGAACGAATCAAACCTTCTTATTGTCATCTCACCCACCACATTCACAAGGCCCAGATAGATCCGCCCAAACGTAGAGTGCTCCCTCACAGTTCTCTTCCACGGCACTGGGGCACAACCTGCAGCAACCGAAACCACCTCACAACCAAAAGAAGCATCCGCTTTCAGACTGCTGTGCCTCGTTTTCCATTTTCATCAATTTTCTGTGGCTATCACCGGTGCAAATCCAGCAAGGGAAGGGGGGCGGGCGCAGCAGAAAAGAGGGTAGGCTTATTGGGAGGCTGACAGCGGCAGAAAAAGCGTACGCCTAAGCAGCAACACCTATTCCAACACGAGGGTTCCCCCTGCACGAAACACACTACCCTTCAGTACCGAGTCGGGCCTATACAGTTACTACTCTATATTGCAAATATATATTCTCTCTCTCTCTCTCTCTCTCTCTCTCTCTCTCTCTCTCTCTGTGTGTGTGTGTGTGTGTGTGTGTGTGTATGTGTGTGTATATATATTGTCACACTGTGAATCAGAGCGCGAAGGCAAAAAAAAGGAAAACAAGGAAAGGAATATTGTCACACTGTGAATATGTATATATCACCAAACAGAACTGCTCGGTAAACCGTAGGCAGAACGGGAGAAAAGGACAACAAACGAGGGTCTGTGACAAACTGTTTCGTCGGAGTTTCACCTACTCGTCAGGAGGCTGTATGTATATACATAGAGCGGGGGGGGGGGGGGAAGAATGACACAAGAAACCGACCTAATAGCAAGAGAGAGGAATTGACAAAAACAGGCAGAGTCCTCTCCGGACTCTCAGATTATCTGTAGTTGCAAACTTATCTACCTCGGGGGATGACACTCGTCTCGTATATCGTGAGAGAACAAGAGCGAGGGAGAAGAGTAAGAGAGAAAACGAGCAATAGACAGCTTGGAGGGACTCCGTGCATAGAACACGAGGAGGCGATTCTCATCCTCTTCTTAGTTCTTCGTTTCCTTGTTATAATAAGCGCAAACCCCTCTGATAAGCAAGAACACAGCAAGAACCGTCAAACGTAGGCTGAACAGTTCGGCACCGCGAGATCCCCAAACATTGACAGAGACCGCGTCATTGAACAACAACGAGCAATTCAGACGGAAATGGACGTTGTCTCTGCGATCATGAACACATACAAGCTAACTCGTCCCTATTCATCATCATTTATATGCTTCATCATCATTTATTATAATGACCTCTTCAAGCCGCAAAAGAAAATCACTACACTGCACATCGAACACCGCTTCCCCATTGCCCCTTTGCTTGTCCACCACGAGCCCTGCATAAGTTTCACCTTCCTGCCATCACCCGTGTACCCTTGCGGCACTTTCCCGGAGCCACAATCCCCATCGCACACACCATCCGCCTCGGACCATCAAACTAGTCCCCAAAGCCTCTAAACTGGACACCACAAATTGGAACGGTGACCACAGAAGGGAGGGCGTGGAGGACAAAAATTCCCACCTGCGACAAAGATGAGAGAGCCATTCCGTTTTCATTCAACTCCATGGACCGGAGACCATCTTTATCCATCCATACATCCACGCATACGTACATACATACATAAATATATACACAATATATGCAGGTAGACATACACATACAGACAGGCATAGATATACGAACATTCAACGCAATTTCACCAGCAGTATACCATGGCTTCACGTCATTAGGTAATAAATGGCGGACGTGCGCTCACGATAGCCTTGCTGCAATAACTTCCCAGTCATTCATCCATCCATTCATTCCTTCATTGTTGGACTACCGTCTCAACCGAATACAACGCCCGGTCATTATAGCTGTATTTCGGCCAACTTTCAGTCTAGATACAGCGATAATGCCCTTGCGTTCTATTCGGGTGAAAACGGTAGTCATCTCTTCGTCACCGACCGAGTACAGAAATGATGTCTACCTTCTCCCTCGAATACCACGCACCGTCAGTACGACTGCATAGGACAGGAGAGAGCCTGTACATATTTGGGTCCGTTGTGGTCTGGGGAATACGGTACAGTATCGCCACATGAATCATACACTGCTAACACAAAAAAGAGAGGAGACGCTTGGGGAGCAGAAAGAAAGAGAGAGAGGCCTCTTGTGGCCATAACGAAGGAAAGCTTCAGTGTTTCCATGGGTGAGGGACGCTGGACCCGGTTTCCAGCAATCTCAATAATTCAAAACAATGTTTCCACCCCACCCCCCCCGCTCCCTCCGCCCCAAAAAAGGAGCGATTGAGTGAACATTGCATCGCCATCAAGAGAAACAAAATGATCATCCCGGGTCAATTAAAATCGATATCGAGAAGGAAAACAAAAACCCAGCCGAAAGGGCCGAAACCACATATTCTAGGGAAAAACGAAAGTATCAGAACTCTTCGGTAACCGATTTGCAGGACCAGTGTTCGGGTCCTTCACTAAGATTCTCAAAAACAACGACCACCTCCGCCAAAACCTCCTCCCCTGTAAAACACCGTCCTCTTCCCCTTCCATTCCGGCCTTGCACTCTTCTGCCTGCCTCATACTCTTTTCCTCGCAACATTGTTGATTGAGCAAGGGCCTAGTTGCGCCACTCGCCAACCGCCAAGATTTGAATGCATCTGTACAAAATGATGAGCGGATGCTTTCAAAATGTTGCCCAATGGAGAGTGGTGCAACTAGGCCCAAACTGAGGTTTCATTTTCCTCGTCCATCGAGAAAAGACCTCTTCCAAATACTGTAGAGCAGTTTGAGCCCCTAAGAGAGAACTACACGAAAGGACTCGGATTTGGTTCCCATCTCCAAAGCATTCGCGAAGGGGAGCACCCTCATCACTCCACATCCCTTTCACACATTGTCCGATCAAGAAAGGAATTTTTGGCAGGAAAGTCATCCACATTCCCTCCATCTCTTCAGACACGACCACTGAGCCACTCGCGCGGCACGAGAGACCCTTGAACACAGCCCCTTCTCTCCGCCTGCAAACCATTTAGAGGAGGTAGAGGTCGTAGACTCTCTCTCTGTGTGTGTGTGTGTGTGTGTGTGTGTGTGTGACACACAGCACACAAGCACGCACACACGCACACAACCAAAAGACGCAGTTTCGCCTCAGCTAAGAGAGGAGGGCAACCCTTACCCTTTCGCGCTCTCGCTCCACCCTCCCAGTTCTGTTCCTGGGCATCATGTCCGCGTTTCATACTCAAACTGCAGACATCAGATGAGAATGTCTAATAGGACTACTGCTGACAGTGTCATCTCTCCTTCCGGACCACCCCTGCTTCGCAGACAGGATCCAATGTCGGAACGGTTTTCTTAATTTCAGTTCATGGGACCTTTGCGAAGTCATTCTGCCGAAGACTCAGGGCATACTCTCGCACTACGTGGACTTTCCGGAATGCATCTAGTCGCAATTCAGTTCGGAGACATGCACAGCAGTCCTCGTGTGCGTGTTACTACTCCCTCAACTCGAGCCACCCACTCATATTTGCAGTCCAAAAGAACGCCAGTTACACGATGGGGTGTCAACCTTTCGCCCTGGCCGTCTACTTGCAAGCGAGAATCATCAACGCGTCAATCCCACGCGTCACATAAATGCTCCCCAACCCAAAACCACGCCCGCGTAAGTAGTCAGCGCACCAACAATGCCACATGACGACCACGTGGTCCAACGTAACGCATCACGCATATGCTCCTATGCCACATGTCGAAAGAACAAAGAATCTCCAATGCCACATGAGCGGATGGAGATGGAGGGATTCGAGCCCCCGTCTCGTAAAGAATCTCCAATGCCACGTGCTGCTAATACTACAATGCCACGTGTCGCAAATATTCCACTGCCACGTGTCGCAAATGCTCCCGAAAAACATGGTCACAAAACTAGTCAGGACACCGCTGGTCATCCCCTCTCTTTTGAACGCTTGTTAAGCCAATTCCGAGTACAAATGATAACCTTTCCCTGTCGAAAAACACCCTTCTTTTCTCCGTTACGCAAAGAACACCCACCCATCTACCCTTTCTCCCCCGGATACTCCGGGAAGGGTATTCTTTTCCCATTTCCCTTCTGTTTGCCTTCCGTCCCTCATCACTAATGAACCATCAAGAGGCATCGCTCAGCTCTCGGACACATTTGCACAAATCGATACGACAGGGTGAGACAAAATATCGAGGAGTTTATTACGCATCAGATAGCCCAGCCATCGCATTGATGACGTGTCAGGGCGACACGATAACATACAAAACCTAAGGCCACCCATCAATCCGTTCACCGCTACGTTACGAAAACATGGTAACCTTAATCCACCAGACAAACTCCCCATCATCGTGAATACAGTAACAACGACAGGGAGTTATGTTCGAGAAAACAAGGTGACAGTATATGGAAACGCCATCCGGAGTCCAGAACAGTTGCCATACAACCGAAATGTTAAACGGCGTGCCCCGAAATGTTAAACGGCGTGCCTCGACGCGGAAACAAGCAGATGCCCGCCCGTGTCCGACTTCGCGTTCAAAACATTACTCGTTTCGACAGGGCGGGGGCGTGGGGGAAAGAGGGGAGAGAGGTGGGAAGAGGGGGGAGAGGGGGGAGAGGGGAGGATGCCCACCCCTCTGACTAGCTCGGTCCTTTCGCTTATGCCACGTCAGCTCATCATCTTAATCGGGGGGAAATTTTGCTACTATCAGCCGGCGAGATGAAGGTCACGTGTCCAGAAGTCACCCCCTTGAAGGGTTGGTAGTGCCTTCCTCGTACTTGACTACCCTCAATAACTCGTGATTGCTTCCGGAAGTAGTTAAAACAATCAATCGATCTAATTACTCGATTTATTATCCAAACGATAATCACACACCAAGCGCGCGCCTAAATTGACAACAAAGATTTGCTGTTTGTAATCGCGACTGATTGCTCCGTTCGCATAATATTTTTGAGTTGTTGATTTCCGAGGTAATAATTACGTCCCTGGCTGTTTTAACAAGCTAAAGATCGACGACCTGCTTGGGCATAAACTGCTTCGCGCCGAAAAACACACGAGTTGTCTCAACCGGCAACCAGACCGATCCAAGTGCACGGTCAACACTCTCTCTCTCTCTCTCTCTCTCTCTCTCTCTCTCTCTCTCTCTCTCTCTGTGTGTGTCCCCGCGAGAATCTGCGCGAATCCGTGTGCTAGAAGGTGGTCGAAATGTCCAACGGGGCATTCATAACGGTCAAACGGCACACAGGCGCTGCATTGGAACCGCACTTGCCCGTGATGCCGAACCCCTCGCTACCGACAATGGGTCCCTTCCTTTCAATACTACGCTACGGTAGGGCTTATGCTCTACGTTCTCCCCAACCAATTTATCATCACCTTATCGCACGCATGAATCACTAAATGAGTCGACATGCAACCGCCGCGGCAACTTCACAAATCACCGAAAGTACCGAGGCGTATAAAACGTTCACCATCAATCTCAGCAAACGTCCCCCCGCCTTACCCCCCCCCCTTCTCTCTCTCTCTCTCTCTCACACACACACAAAACAAAAATTGAGCTCCACGTCACCATGACAGAACTCATCGCGTGGTCTCCTTCACACCACGCTCCCCATTGAGTACATTCCCGCGCTCATGACAGATGATGGATCGATTGAGCGATTGATTGGGTTAATTGGTGGGCACAGATGAAAACACACTAATTAATTGTTTCCACAAACAAAAACAGTTCATTGATTTCGTCTGTTTCACCAATCAATCACTAGGACAAGACTTCATAAAAGAGTCGATTAACCAATCAAGTCGCTTGCTTGCATTGGCAAAACTCTCAATTGCCCGATGGTTTGACTCAAAAATGATAGATCGCTTTGGTATACAACAATTCGACGCTTCGACCTCTCTCTCTCTCTCTCTCTCTCTCTCTCTTACTCAATTCACCGCGCGGAAGTCAAGCAAATTTTCTTCCATTCAATTTCGCTACTTCGTCCCAGAGGAAAAGGAGGAAAGAGTCTTCACATTGATATCGTTCTGAATGCATCAATTCAATTCAATTCATTCAGTTGATATTACAATCCTAGTTACCAAACGACGATAGACACGTATATACACGACTTTCGGAGGAAAGCGGCGAGGCGACGAACTGGCCAGGCAACCAACCCAAAAAAAAAGGCATTGCCCCTACTCCATCGAACCTGAAATATTCCTTTCGCCTCATCAAGAAGTGTGAAATTACTGCCCATGATACAAGCAATCCATTCACAGAATGACTCTCGCCCTGCCGGCTATCCGTCAAACTCTAGACGTTCTTCGCGGGGAGATTCTTTTGGCGCGAACAGGGGCAGCAAGGAGTCTCCGGCGACAAAGAGAGACGAATACAATACAGGAATATATCAAATAAAGCATCTCTCTCTCTCTCTCTCTCGTGCGTGCGGTCGCGCAGTTAAGTCGTCGAAAATTTTATCGCTATAATTCACGACGAAAGGAAATGATGCTTTCTTTTCTGCTCAGTTGCCTCCCCTCTCTCACGTTTCCTTAGTACTCGCATGCTCTTCTCTCGTCGACACTTTCTGATGTTCTGCAATATCGTGCACTAACATTACAACAGTTTTCTCAATATCCGCGTTCGACCACACACCATCGCCACTGAATCGCTCCTTTCTTCTCAATGGGTCATTTACTTCACCGACGAGACAACAAGCTTCACACGCCCCCTGCCACCTCGGCGAAACGGACCGAAGCTAGGTCGTCTCGCCCTGGTGTAATGCAAATAAGTAGGTGCCGGTACCGGGTGCATTTGTGCTATACGGGCGGGTCTACCTCCACTCATCCACCTCGAAACCGCTCGCACAACACACGAGCGAAGGAAAACAAACATAGGAGGATTCAGCGAGCCACCACATAAGATATCGCCCCCAATCAATCCGATAAACAATCCGTTAATCAATCCTTCAAGCCATCAATCCATTACACAGCCCATTAACCAATCAATTAAACAGCCAATCAAATAATCAATTAAATAATCAACTAAAAGCAAACGGTCGTCGAGCGATTGCTGAAACGTCCACATATTATTACGGCATTAACCCGCGTGGGGAAAAGAAATAGGGCTGCGACATGGTGGGTGCTCGATATTCCGACGGCACTCGCGGACGTACGAACAGTTTTTGGTCGCTTGATAAATGGCCAGGAGGAAGAGAGCACAAAGTCAAAAAAATTATGGGCGAAAAGCCTTGGAAGATGGCTCGCACCCCACCTCTGTTTGGGTCTCGGACATGCAACAACAAGGGGGCAGCAAAATGAGTAATAAGGGACAAAATCAAAGAAGGCGATGCAAGGCACAGAAAACGAGAGAAGCAAACAATGAGAGAGTGACGATAAAGTCAGAGAGGGAGGGCAGATACATGGAAAGGGACAAACAGGAGAGGGGAGCTCCCGATGAGAAGCGGCCGGAAGGCCGCAGAGCAGAAGGGCGAGGACGACAGAAGGAGAGATAAGATGGAGAGAGGAAGAGGATGGGAGACGAAGAGGGAGAGAAAAAGAGGGACGAATAGAGGAAGGCAAGGGGCGAGAGGAGGGCAAGAAGACGGAGCGGAAAGTGTGGAAAGTGTGCGGATTACGGAGTGGAGGGAGCAGAGCTATAAAAGGACGACAGGGAGAGGAGAGAGGACAACATAGGGAGAGAAAACGGAAGGCAGAAGAGGCAGCGGTAGGGAGGGAAGAGTGGGCGGAGGACGGGGCGCGGAGGCAGAAGACGGCAGAAAGAGGACGGAGGAAGATGGAAAAGGATACAAGGAAATACACGGAAAGAGAAACAAATACAAGACATAGAGAGAGGAAGTGGGCTCTGAAAGGGGAAAAATACAAAAGAAATAAACAAAAGAGAGAACGAGACAGGATTACAGAGCGTAGAAGAGAATAGATCAAGACTGCACGGAAACGGGATGTAGAAAGAGCCAAAGACACAGGCCGGAGGAGATGAAACGATGACTAAGGGGGCGAGGGAGCGATAAGACCGGGTAAAAGAGGTGTGGCTGAAGAACCCCGCGGTTGGGGGGTGGGGGGAAGGCAAAGGTTGAACGAGGAAAGAGAGTAGGAGAAGCAACGGGTTGAGGGATGAGGGACAGGGAGACGAGGAGGGAGGGAGAGGGAGAGAGCCGGGGTTAGATAAAAAGCAGAAAGAGGCGGAAAAGAGAAGAGCCAAACGCGGACAAAGAACGAGCGAGACACGGAGAACGAATAAGGAGAGGGGAAAGATGAAGAACGGAGACAGTTTCAATGAGAAGGTCACAGCTTCGAGACAGAGGTACGGAGACAGGCGAACCGGGGAGGAAAGGCAAAGTGTTTTGCAGGGAGAGAAGAAAGGACAGAAGACGAAATGGCGACAGAGTGAAAGCTCGAATGTCTTCCCGCCATCCAGAAGCACTACGTGACGATACTTGTTAAATGTTTCTGCCCGCCATTTCGGATTCAACGAAATGGCGGGAAACGCATGCACACGTCAGCCTCTTGGCAGGTGTACTTGCAAAGAACAGAGACGTCAACCCGTCGTCACAAGCCAGCCCATCGTCACTCCCTGAAAGCCAAATGTGAGCAATGATAGGGGCTGAAAACGTCCAGAAACCATATATATGAGATACAAAGAGGGCCAGAGAGAGATGGCGCGAAGGGAGTACGCATCCCACAAAGGACCACAGGATTGAGGGCGTTCGGACGAACCTGCGGGGTAATCTTCGCTTACGAGGAATTAGATTGAAAATGACGAGATAGATGAAAAGACACCTCACGTGCAATGATCAACATAACCACACGTGGCAAGAGTTCGTCCGTCTTCAGCCCGGCTCCGGTCCTCACCAACCCAACTCTCTCTTCTCTCTCTCCTCTCTCGCCCCTCGGCCCCAGTAAGCTAACACCATATGGATGTCTCGTCTCGCCTTCGTGTCGCCCGCTGTCCGCTGGACAGAAAGGCGCGCCAATATTTTTCACGTTGCTCTTTTCACATCAAAAAGTAAGCGCACCCGGGAAGCAATTAAGAAACGCAAGGACAGTAAAACGACGATGCTGAGCTGGACAGTAGACATGACAGAGGCCCCACAGCGAAGGGAAGCAGGGGGCGGGAGAACGACACACGAGGAGAGAGTCTCAGTAAGAGGGACAGTATGTGCCGAAGATGTGAGAGACGGGGACAGGGAGCGTAGAGTATAGCAGGAAAGTCTCGATGGTTGGTTAGTACGCGCTGATGAGGGCAGAAGTAAAGCCTTTCGCAGAGCTACTCCCTCTTCTGAATAACTCGCTCACTCGCTCGCTCACGTACTCACTCGCTCACGGCCTCAAACACACTTCCGCTCTGCCGGCAGCCAAAGGGAATGGAGAAGAGCAGGGATCACCTCGATTCTGACCGCCCTGCAGGAGAGGGAGGACCACGGGTTGTCCCGGACGATTGAGCCAGAGAGGCCCCAGCGGGAGTTGGAGGCAGGCGGCAGAAAGGGAGAGAAACCGGACAGGAAGGGGAGAGGGACGGAAGGTAGCGCAGAGGCTCCAAATTGTGTCCCGACCAGTCCCGACCTACCCGGCCAACCCGTCCCGGATAGCCTACGCGAACTTGCCTCTAGGCTGTTGGCTCTGACCCCCAGCCGTTCTCTCGAGAAAGAGGCAGGCAGGAGTTTCCGAGTGCAGAAAAAGGACGTTTCAGACACGCGGCATTCTGCACCACTCTGGGCTGGAGCCCTGCACCACAAACCCGTCCGCTCGAAGCGGACATATTAGACACAATTACAAACTGCGCAGTCAGCTGTCTGGGTCGGCATATAGCCAAGACGCATCAGTCCTATTACCACAGGCCAGAGCCACAACCACGGTCCAGCACTCCACTCTCCACCATGATCTTGCTGCCCAAGGCTTGGCTTTGACCCCGGGCAGTGTCGTAAGTGTGCATTTTCCACTCTTTCGTGGGAAACGAGGAGATCACACACGTCCAGCAGAAGAATGGCTCTTTTCGTAGAGGCTTTCTAGGACGTGACCAGCCCAAGACATTCAAACTCAGGTCTATTTACCAGCAGTCTATGAGTGTACCTTTCTTCTTCTTTTTTTTGAAACTCAAAATTCAACTTTCATTTCATAAATATCATTAGAGGCCGGGGATCCTCAACATTACAAGCCTGCAGGTCTTCTAAGACCCAGCAGCTCAAGGCTGCAACCTGCACTACTCCTATTCTACTGACGAGGTAGCTAACTACGCTAACATACTTCCGAACTACTAACATACAGACGCCTCATTCCAGGGCGACCCTAACCCGGGTCCTGGACCAGATCCCTGAGGCTACAACTATCCTTCCCTATTAATGACAAAAGGCCTTAATACAGGCCTTGGAGCCTGAGGCGGATCCAGAGATGCATGACACTCCCTCCTGCCTCACTTACCACTGAATTGAGACCGAGTGTCCAGGTCTGAGGAACTGTCCTACGTTACACTACTGATGGACACCTGGCTAGCCCACACAGAACATACGGATGTAACAAACTAAGTCATCTATAGCAACCCAGAGAAAGCAACTGGGTGTCTCACCCAGCGGCCCACACAGAACATACCGATGTAGCAAACTAAGTCATCTATAGCCACCCAGAGAAAGCAATTGGGTGTCTCACCCAGCGGAACCTAAGACGGTTCCACAGGTACCGGTGCTCCATACC